GCTAGCTGAGGATGCTATTAAGGCAGCTTTGAAGGACTACAAGGTGAAACAGGAGACTCTAAAAGCAGAGAAGGAAAAAAACTGAAGCTTCAATTTTAAGTTTGCATATATGTTTTAAAACAAAATCCACTGGAGGTTACTAACTCACGGCAACAGTAGCACAAGTTGCCATGAACTGAAACAACTAGTATAGAAAACATGGTTAGTTTCTTTACTGTTATATGAAAGATTTGACCAGATGTCATTAAACTATTTAAAAAGAGTTATTGAAATATACAGTATTTGACAAACCTATCTAAAAATTGTTTTTAATGTAAATATAATTAGACAACATTCACCAGTGAATTTATTACTTTCTGAAAATGTAACAAGTGAACAATTGTAGATTATAAAATACACATTAAAAGCATTTAATTTAAATATCTAAAAAAGTGTGACTAATACTTTTTTCTTTAATTTGTTAAGGGATGTAAAAATACACAAGCCTTATGCTTGAGCCTACCAAATGTTTGAGTTTGAGCTACCATGGAATAATGTTTCCAACAAGCATCTTAGTTCACAAGATAACACATGATCTTATGAGATTTGATAAAATTGGGGGTTGTGTTCAGTATTTACTTTAGTACACAATTATGTTCAGTAGTTTCAAAATGTTGTACAAAACTTGCTGTAAAATGAACAATAAAGAATTAAACTACTCAGAGTTCTTCAGAATTTTTTTATTTCACCTTAATGTTTAACTGAGGACTTTTCAGTTTCATTTTCCAAAAACTGATGGTCTGGCACCACCTTTATTCTGGACAAAATTATGAAAGTGCACTTGAAATTCCTGCGACTACGAGACTACTTCACTGGGCGGCCACAGATGGCATTGCGTGTACACTTTCGGGAAGGGCTACTTGCATTTTAAGTAGGTACATCACTCTCGTGAAAATGTTCTTATAAATATTAAACTAGTGAATCAAAGTGCTTGAATTTTTTCATGAATGTTGCCGAGAATATGTAGTTTAACAAGATACAAATATTTAGTTTTGATTTTTTGTTCAATTTTTTACAACACAGAATGTTGATAATAGTGTATGAAAATTCAAAATATAATGTACATGAAAATAACAGTAAAATTCTAAAATTTGCCACTTTGGAAGCGGTACTACTGCAACATTCTTTGTAAGTACAGTAATTAATAAACCTTTTTCATTTATACTGTACTATTGTATTTCATTAATCATTTAATTTACATTTAATATTTGTTTCATTTAAGTTTCTAGCAGTCCATGGCGTTTTAGAGACACGGGAGAGATATAATTAGTAGGTCAGACGTGTATTGTTGAATTATTATTACGTGACCTCTGTTGGAACCAAGGGTGCACCTGTACTTAAGTAATCAAACTAAACCAACTATAAATGATACAAACATGACAAGACTCAAAAATCTGTGATTACCATTACCTTTCGTCGAGATCACTTTATATCTAATAGTTATCATTTGCTTTCTATAAACAAGAAGTTATTGTCTTTGTCTCACTTGATTTGTTTGTCATTGCAAGTCGAGCCTACCATATTTGCTAATAATGCATAGTAGATGATGTCTTGTTATGGAAGAATATTCCTCTAGTTTTCCAGTAGATATAGTGTCACATAAATATTAAGTACAAAAAGAAAATAACCAGAATATTTGGAAAAAAACCTGTTTTCTAAATGTTATATAAGTTTTTGATTCTTCGAACTGTTTCATATTGTTGACTAACTTTCAACTTTTCAAATGCCCAAGTGATTTTTTACACAACACTACTGTATTCTCATGTAAAGTGTGTGAAATGTTAAAATCTTTCTGAGTAAATATAAAGCTAATAAATAATATTATTCTACCATGAATTTTTTACTGTGATTGGCATATAGTGCACCTCGTGGTACTAAACATTTGAACTATTGCCTCAAAAAGTTATTCATCAAATCACATGACTGTTGTCCAGCTGTCAAAGCCGTTGACATGCATTCATGACGTTACAGCAAAACTTTGCAGATGACAGTTTTTTTGCAGCAGAGTGAAAACACATTGAGTCATTTAACCTAATTACAATCAGTTTTCTCAAACCCTTAAAATGAATGTGGACATATATTATGGCTTAAAACTTCAGTTACTCACAAGTGAAGAGCTGCAGTCTCATTGCAGAAAAGAACAATCAGAGTACTAAAAAGGAGCTGTAAAAGTATTTGAGGAATACTGCACTGCATGGAGGGTGTCTGTGGCAAATTCTGACAAGCAAGAATTAATTCTAGAGATAGAATAAAACAAATACCGGCTGTTTTTTAAGACTTGTAACATAGGTAAATTAATATGTAGAATTATACACAGGCTGCTCTCAACATTAATATACTTTAATTTATTTGCGAGGTTTTGGCCCTCTCGCCAAAGCCTTCAATAATGCATTGCTGCACGATGAAGGATTCAGTAAGAGGGCAGAAAGCTCACAAATAAATAATTTAACACAGAGAACAATCCATGTATAATTTTGCATACAAATATTGACAGATCATTTGTTACCAGTCAGTACTTGTATAATGGAATTTGATGGGGATAATTAAATATGAGCTTTGGAAAAAGCAAAAAATAAAAATTTCAAAGTGCGATGTTTGCAGTTCACATGCCAAGATGCACAACAGAAATGCAAGTTTCAACATTTGTTTATATTTTTTATTTGTGAAATAATTTATTCCATGTTATTAAATTAACTAATTTATGAAAATTTTGAGTAAACATTTTCTTGAAACAGTTACAATTAAATTTTTAACGAGAGTTGTGAAATTTGAAGCGAGTCTTGAGTGATCTTTCAGGCTGGAAAGTTACTTAAAGCAAAATTGTGAGATTGATAAAGAATAACATCCTTTTGCAAATAGTATAAGGGCAATAAGCACCAAATGCAATTTAACAATTTTTCATGTGCACTAGTAACATGTCATTTTTACATTTTGAATTAATCCTCTCTGAAAATACAAGAAAAAAAAACTAATATTTGTACAGCCATAAGATGCATGCATATTCACTTGTATTTCTGTGTATTCTATAAATGTACACGAATGGGCATGCTGATAACCACATGTACAAATTTAAAATTTGGATCTCCTTCAATCTTTAGTTGCTGAGATATAAATTTGTCAAACCCGTGAGAGAAGACCCTCTCCTCTCTCTCTGACTTTTTTGAGACTGTTTACTAATCAACTTTACGTGGCTAATGGCCATGTTTCTAACCAGTAGAAAGATCAGATTTCCCTTTATATGCATTGTACAATTTTGCATTCAGTTTTCCTGCTATTAATCTGCTAGAAACAAAATGTGTGGTCTTTCTTGATCACATTTAGTACTCTAAACAGTAATAGAATTTTTTTAATCTTTTCAAAAATTACTTATAAATTGGATAAACAACATTAGTTGGACATTATATTCTAATGAAAAGACATATTTTGGGGAATAAAATGTTATATACTTATGAGACTCAATTAGGCTTAAGGAGGAACATCAGATATTTTTCATTTGTTGTTAAAGATTTTTTAACAAAAGTAACTAAAATCTAAGAATTATAAGCTTATCAGCTTAGCCTAACAAAACTTCAGTAAAATAAAATATTTAAAATTCTACTAGCTTTGGTGATGGTGTGAAACATGACACTAGATTATGGGCTGTTTACATTAGCTAATGATCTCCACTGTGATTTAATGCTTTTGATGCAATGATTCCTGCTCCAGTGGATACAAGGTATGGAAATAAAACCATAGAGTTAAAAGAAAACATATATGGTAATAGTTTAAGCTGCTAAGATATGTAACTTAGAACTTTTTGATCAATTCTGTAGTCAGTGCAGAGAAAAGATGGTATAATTTTTATTTCATATTTTTCAACATTTCATTTCATTGTACATTGATGATTTCTCTATAGTTAATGTTAGGGCAGAAAAAATGAGAGATAAAATATTATGTTCAACCAAAGAAAATTTTGATATTTACTTTGGAGGTTATGCAAGTGAAATTTTAAAAAATTAAGATGAAAATTAACTTTAACAGACTCAGTAGAGGCTTCAGAAATTCACAGACAAATCTCTAGAAAAACTACTTCTATTAAAAATAGAATTGTAATGTTTACTAAAAACTTAGCACATTTCATTTAGCTACACCCAGCAAATTCAGAATTATAGTATATGTAGTTAAACAGTTCCAAACATTATTCTTACAAGAATAAATTACCCTACAAAATTCATGATAAACGTGTTTCACTTCATTGCTTCTCTTTCTTAAACAGCACCAATGCCTCCATGTTATCCAATCATGCATTTTCATGTACATTTGGGCCACACAAATGAAATAGAAAGTAAAAGCTGGATCTAATTGCAGTTTTGGTTTCATTTCTTGGAAATAGTTGAATGTCTATTGCCACTTATGAGCTTTGTATGATTGGTAGTCTGTTTATCAACAATACGCTAATCCATCATAAGCCTGGTATACAAACATATACGTGACTTGGTTATTGACTTGTAAGTTAAAATGTCCGATTACATAGCTTCAATTTCTAATCTATGTGATTACTTTTTTGCTGGGATTAGAATAATTATTTTTAAGGCAAAGTTGTCTTAACATGAGATGAAACAGCTGTGATTTATATCACCCACTTCAAACTTTAAAAATTATTTTGCTATTTCTAGTTTATTTTCCAGAATATGTTTTAAAATAGACATTAAATAAGTGTGAACAATTTTGGTTCAATCATTACAGTTCATATGATGTACACTCCAAAAAAAATATTTTATTTGTGACAGTATCTACTGCAACATACGTGAAAAACACTTGTACAAAGGTTCGACATATCTCTTTACTTATTGTGCTTTGTTACCTTACTTCTGTCACAACTGACATCACCAAGAAAAATATTTTCTAAAACAAGCATTTGATTCTTATGTCTGACAAAATATTTTTGAAAAACTATCAAAAATAAAAACAATGAAACTGGATGATGGAACAAAAAGCAATTTTTATCTTCAGAAATACTTAGTGTGAAGAAAATGACTAGACAAAAATATACATGAATGATAATTATCAATTACAGAATATAATTAAACATATGTAAAAAGAGTTATTTGTACAATCACAGTTTTAGCCAAGTATCTACAAGTGTTGATGTTTAATACGTTTTTTTAAATTAAACATACTATTCCTGTTTTACTGGTGCACATAATATTATGGTATATACTCTTACTTGTATAAGATAGTGCAATTTTAACTTGGGGTACATTCTGCAATTTAACATCAAACTATGTGCATAGAACCTGGCAAATAAGTCTTAAAATTTTAGCATGTCTTAAACTTCTACTCAATATTGTGGTGATAACTAATAGCAGTTGTGCCTGCAATATCTTTGTTGTGGAAGCCAAGACTGGTTATCATTATTTTTTCCTGTGTAAAGAAATGCCTGTGATTGAACTGCAGTCCAGTCTGTGATCACCCGTGGGTGCATATGACAGCACATGGCTAGATTTTGACTGTCTAAAAATACTGTTAAGGCTGATAAGCAGCATATTAACACAATTTCATAATTCTGTGCAAAATATCTCAAGAAATGCACTACATATTCCATGGACTTTCCCGCTTTTCATGAGATTAAGAGGCTATGAGAGATGGAAACATGTCTCTTGATTAAGTGCAGTAACAGATAGTCTACAAAAAGGATTGAATTGTAATTAGCATGACTTATTATTTTCACCGACTTCTTTGTATATTTTGCATAACATTACGAAATCATTTCAATATGCTACTTATTACCCTTAGTAGTAATTATAGGTGGTTATCAATAGGACCCCCCACAATCTATTGTATACTGAGGAAATATATAAAAGCAGTGTATTTCTGGAGTTTTGTTATGATACTTTACAAGTGATTAAACAATTTATAAAATTGGGTTAACCTTAACATTTAATAAATGATGCAGTTTGTTTCTCTGTAATATCATGTTATACAACTAAAATAAATGAATTAATACAAAACTAACTAGACTTACCCTATTAGCCACAACAACTGTTTACAAGAAATTGCTGGTAACTCACTTAAGACACCACCTATTGTATCATACAATTTTGTACATAGCATTAATTTTCTGTGTGCCTAGACCATTATTAACAGTTTCGAAGATGTAGATAGTGAAGTTACCAGGATTGGACATGCAATTACTTTGAACTTCAGATTCCTCATTTTAAGAGTAATGATATGGTAGATGATGTGTTTTAATGAAGAATAAATTTTACTTCTACCTTTACCAAATAGGTAAGATGCTGATCTAGAAGTACTAATAAAAAATAAGTTTATTGTTTTATTACACTACGAGTAACAAACTGGAAGTTAATATTTTCCTATGCTGAAAATATAATTCTGATAGATATTTAACTTTTCTCACAGTTACAGCTATTCTCGATTTCACTGCCCTCTAGTGTGCAAATTTTTGCTTGCCACTAACCTTGAATTCCCACCTAATTCGATGTGGTTCAGCTGCATTTAAGCATGCAACAAACATTTCTATCGCAGCTAACTCCCTCTATGCAACTGAGGTAAGTATTTATTGGAAATATATTTTCAGTGTAGGAAAATATTAACTTCCAACATAATTACTTACCTCCTTTCACAGTTACAGCTAGAATCCAGCAGGTGGAGGGACTGGTGTAAAATTACCCATAAGAGCACCCTTCAAAAGCATGTGAAGAGCACCACATCTGAACCAGGTATATTCTTTGCCCAAGTGGAGACAAATGGTGTTGTGCTGCAAGACAAGGGTGGAACAAGTTATCCATCCCAAATTCAAAAGGAAGAGGAATGTGTGCAGAGTGGCTAGGGTGCATCGGATCGTAATCGAGATCCATATTGTAAAAAGCAGACCATTCCCAATTCTGGAAATCTAAGGAACATTAGTCCATGAGTGTACGGTCCAGTACAAACATATTTATGACTCAATATACCATGAGGAAGAACCTGTAAGCAGTCTTGTGGAACACCCCATCCCAAAAGTGTGCATGATAGACCTTATAGATCTCACATTGCAAATGCTGTAGATCAATATTACTGTACAGGTACCATTCACCACAGAGCAAAATTCATAACATTTAAAGTAGATCCCTGAAAAAAAAATAGAAACTAAAATATCTTACCCAGTCAGAGTTGTACCAACACATGAAGAATGGCTACAGGGGGAAGACAATATCTGACTGATGAGGAAACAGCCAGATGATGTAAGTAGCACAATACAAAGGTGTGGAGAGTGATCCACATGCTGGCCTGGATAATCTCCTCTAAAGGATGATGGAAATGAGGAGCCAAGAACATCAGGAGGTGACAGATCTGATGGGATGAAATACATAACAATTGGCAAGATTCAGATGAAAGGTAGTGAGTCATGGAAGGATGCTGTGTGTGACACGTAACACTGTAAAGCACGGACTGGACACAGGAGACAATCTGGATCAAAGTGGTCAGAAATAAGGGAAATGGAAGGAATGGAAAAAGAGTGAAGACAAAATCTCTTTCTCTGGCAGATGATGTTTTTAAAAGGAAAGAAGGAATGGGATATAAAAGGCCAAAGGTTTTGTGGTACAAAACGAGGCGAATATCAATGGGGAACAAGTCCGACTGATGACATCCACAAGTCAAAAGGAGAAAGAAATACATGTTCAAGGAAAAGTGATATAAGGAACATGAGGATAACAGTTCGAAGAGAGTAAAGAAAAGGGCATGCAGAACAACATTTAGATTTCAGTCAATTGAGCAGTATGAGGATGATGATGAAAACACATAGACCGAAATAAAAGGGAAATAACTGGAGAGGAAAGGGAGAATTCATGCTGGATAGACCAACTACGGAATAGTCTCCACTCACGTTGATATACAGACATGGATGAGAAACAGTCAGAGTGTGACAACAGGGATGCTGCACTTGTGGATAGGCCCAAACTCCTTGCAAGGGACTGAACAAAAGACATGCATTAAGCCAGAGTGAGGGAATGGCGGGATGAAGTACCCCTGAGTGAGGTTGCTGGAGAGGGACCGGGAAACAGGGAGAGGTAATTCCTAGAGAAGGGACAGAAACCACAGTGGATTTGACCAGAAAGAAGCCACAAGAAGGACTCAATACGGAGTGAATTGGATGAAAGAAATTACTCAGGACAGAAGACAGATGGGAGGGTATGTATAAAGGAAAAGGTCCTTCCAATCCCGGCTGAATGCATCCACAGCCAAAGGATATGGAATTGGGGAGCAAAAGAGAGGAAGTTTGGCATTCAAATGAGTGACAAATGCCAGCTGGGAAGTATCCACGAACATAATCATCGGAATACCTGGGGGTCAAGGGACTATATCATGGGTAGAACCTTGTCAGGAAGGGACAGGCGAACCGTGACGAGCTTTAAGGCACCTTGTATGTAAAAATCTAGCAAATGAATTTGATGACTGTGAGCCCAGAAGAGGATCTCTAGAATGTGGGAACATATGTATCAGGATAGAGTGCCCCCTTTACAGATGATGTAAGGGACAACTGTCAAGTTATTGAAATAACTCATAACTGTCATGCCCTGCAGGGATGACAGAAATTGAACCATTGCTCAACAAATAACAAGGAGTTACAAACAATTGATGTGAAGACCTAACTCCTCCTGAGACTGATGGCCTAACATCTGCTGCATATTGCAGCATTCACCACATCTTCACAACAAGGATTCTTTGAAGATGTGGATATCTGGATGAGGAGGAAGAATAAGTACCCCCCATCCCCTATTGTGGTGTTGTCCTTTTCTAACCACCAGAGGAACCCAGATGGAAGGGATATCTGTAAATTTTGAGGGTTCATGACAGCCATTGTAATCATAATATTAATTTGTGAATTCATAACTATTGACTAACTACCAGTAACTGAGTGAGAAATAGAATTCACAATCAAATAAAGAAATCCAACTCGATAGTGGATTATAAACAATATTTCAAAATGCAAAAATCGGTAACTGAATATTTTCAAAATGCCCAAAAGAAGAAAACAACATTGGAAATGGAGCACTAGATTTTATCACTGTCATGTCAAATCGAGAAGGAGTCAACTGTGATATGAGGGTGTGTCACTCCTATTGGTGGAGGGTTGTTGCATGCTCAAATACAACTGAATCATGTGATATGCATGTGAAATTAGGTGGGAGTTCAAGGCTAGTGGCAAGCAAAATTTTATGCACTAGAGGGCAGTCAAGTTGAGAATAGTTGTAACCGTGAGAGAAGGTAGGTAATCGTATTGGAAGCAGCTGTTCCTCGTACGTGCAGAGAGCCGAGGATTTGTAGAATTAAACTTGGTTAACTATTCATCAGTGTTTTCCAAGATTTGATACTGTAAGACATTGTTGATTACATACATGTTTGTGTATGAAAGAGAGCTTTAAATAGCTGTACTTTAACATGAATTTTATATGTTTAAAGTTTCTTCAAATATTGGCTTTAGTATAGCCATGAATATTTCTTTACTTACAATAGTATCAACTCTTCTCTGATGGGAAATTGGTTAAAAGCTAGTAATTCATTACTGTTTCTTAGGTTCACTCATGTTAGATCATAGGGATCAGAAACCAGTTTTTGGGTAAAAAAGTGGTAAGCCATGAATATTTCTTTACTTACAATAGTATCAACTCTTCTCTGATGGGAAATTGGTTAAAAGCTAGTAATTCATTACTGTTTCTTAGGTTCACTCATGTTAGATCATAGGGATCAGAAACCAGTTTTTGGGTAAAAAAGTGGTAAGAGTAAGTTGTGCCCATGAATACTAATTATTGTTATACAGGCAAGTTATATTAATCTTCATTATGAAGAAACAAGTATGCAGAGATTCCCTTAATGATAACCTTTCACTTAGAACTTCAAATCTTATTTTGAAACAATATTTGTGGATTACAGATGTCATCCTTCAGACATTTATATGACTATTATTACAATTCAAAGTCAGTATACATGATAAAATCTGAGATATTAAATCATGTGACTGTCACTCAAGCAACAGTTCTAATCTTATTATCACACGAACCTATGTAAATTTCAAAAGCTTTGTTTATCTGTTACATTTTCACACCTTGTGAAACTAATGAACTTCTTGATTTTTATGAATCAGCTAAGTATTATATTTACACACACATTCACACAATCTGAACTGTACAGTGTAAAAAAATCCATCTATTTAAAGAGAGACAACTGTGGCATGTTAAAGTGGGCTTTTTAAAAATAAGAAATTTTAAAAATGTAGTTTTGATATTTCTATTTTTCCCATAAAAATGTATCATTCAATTGGATATATATACACACACAAATACACATAACAAATGATCCTTGATAGATGTTATTCGTTAGGTTTTGTGTACCTATAATTGTTTCTCTAATACAATTGTGTTGCTTATATAGGGCCTGACTACAACTTTTTTTCCATTAATTGCATATAAGTGAAAAATTATAAAACTAAAAATGACATATGACATAAAAAAAAACTAATATTAGTAATTCTTTATCACAGTGAATCAGAATATTTTAATTTTTCACAATCATCATGACAAATTGTAGTCTTAACTAATTAAATAATCAAAATAGAAATGATTAAAGGCTTAGCAATGAATGATATTATCCTGTAATGATGAGTATTCAAATCCATGATTTTGGAAACAGGAAACTATAATTTTACTTTAAAAATAATAAAATTACACTATATACATTTTCTCCATTCAGCTGACAGCAAATATTTGACATGTGAACCACTTCAAATCAGATAAATAATACTTTTCTTTCCCGATGATAGGTGTATATTCTAAATGGAACATAATTTTTAAATATCAAGTCACAAATTACAATTAATATAATACTTCTTGTCTGATTCCAGAAAGTAGAAATTATAGACAGACTTATAAGACTAGAAAATAAGTAGAAAATGGTTTCCATTATTCGTTTGAGACCACAATGTTTGTATTTAACGATTCGGCTACTGTCTAGTACTATAAATTGCATCCTTAACCTGCTAATTTTTTTTCCATAAACTTAAAATTACCTTTTCTAAAATGATATAAAACTACAGGTATTAGTAAACAAACAACGGGGAATTGCAATAAAACTGCACATTAATTTTCAAATAATTTTGATTACTTATTATTTCCATTATGTAGCCCACAATTTTCTATTCTCAATAATAAATTTATTACCAAAGGACAAAATGGCAAACTATTATGAAAATAATGCTTTCAGAAGAAACCTGCAACATTGATAATATTCAATTGTGGTTAGAGATTAACAGGCTTGTACTTTAATACGACACGTACTTAGAAAAAAACAAAAATTGTTTTTAGATTGTTTTTCTTTAGAGCAAAGCCACACTGGACAATCTGCTGTGTTCAACACAGGGAATTGAATCCTGGATTTTTGCATTTTAATTCCGTAGACTTATCGCTGTCATACCGGGGGACAACAAAAGTTGTACTAATTTTACTTATTTACTTTTGAAGTGATTTTGAAATGGTTAAGTACCATCTAAATTAAATTTAAACATGCATAGGTAATATATCTTTATACATCATCCTCAGTAGGTGCTCCTCGTCTGATTGGCTACACTATTTCTAAATGTTTCTCTTATGTATCTTGTTGGAGATGCATGAAGCACTGATATTACTATCTTTATTTATGTTTTAAGTTACTAAAATTTAGATAACCTTTAAAAGCGACAGAATTAGTTGTATCATATAATATGAATGATGTTTGCATATACATGCATATATATATATATATATATTAGAATCTATATACAATAGTCTCTCTAACATAAACCAATTATTTAAATGGTTCCTATGATACTACAACACTCAACAAGAAGTTTAAAATAATGTAAATCAAAAGAATAATAATTATCTTGCACACACACAGACTAGCAGATGTGTATATCACAAATTTATCTTACATCCCAGAGTTTGAGCCTGGACGGAAAATATTAACCTTGTATCTATAAAATCAGATCAAGTAACATCATCTATTAAGCCATTTTCTTTGTAATTGGACAGAACTCCATCCTTTTCTTTTTCTTCATAACCTTCTGCTATGAGGTCTTCTGCTAATGCCCAATTTATTTTTCCACCTTCTGTAAATAAATAAATAAATAAAAAAAAGAGAAAGCATACTTTGAATGTGTGCATCATTTCCAGAAATCTGGGTAATATATCCCACTTTCTACTTTTTTACATTGTTACAAAATCTAGCTTATTTGTGATAGTGTATAATGTAACACTCCAGATAAAAATTCACATATTCAGTTACTCAATGTTAATAATATATAATAATAATGTTACACATAATTTGTTTTCAAATAAAAAATACAACTTTAAATGTGGTGTTACTCTGTCAATACAGAAGACTTAGATAATGAAACTAGAACTATTTTTTAAAAATAACCTAACACATTAAAAATAAATTCAAAAGTGTATTTTTAAATCCAAGAGCTTAACTTCTGAAGAAACCGTTTTAATGATATTGCTTTCACTCTAGATGAAACCTGAAATCAGTTAAAAAGCAGATGTGACTTTAAGCTATTCGATGTTTCATTATACCACACCACAGTTTCATAAAATTTGTTGTTGCTTAAGCCCTTCCAGTCCAGTGTTTTTACAGAGGCAAAATGGCACAAGTATTCAAAAATTCTATGTTCTCTCCTAAAATTATGTACAAAATCAAATTATAACTGAAAGGTTGTGATTTAAAAATTCTTTTGGATCTATGCTTTATTAGCATTTGTTTCAGAAAAAGTAGATAAAAAAAACACCAAAGCCCCAGTTTTTTTATATTTTTTACCTAACCAATACAATGTTTATCAGGATGATGGAAATTGTTAAATGTCCTGCCTGCAGAGGTATGATTTGTCATTGTAGGAAACAAAGCTGGAAATCTGTAAACTTTCAACAAGTCTGTTGCTTATCTTTAGCTTAAATGGTTTGAAATAGTATATTTTGGAAGTTCATGATGCTAAAGACTATAAAACTCAACTTTATCCATGTTTTTTCTTTAACAATTTTCAAGTTTCTGAAGCTAATAAAACTATAAACATATCATATGAAATCTGTAATTATTTTCTTTTTTCAATTTATTCCCCATAGATCTTCATTTTTTTAACATGTATTGTAAAAGTTTTAAAATTTCACCGATAATGTCTCGAAAAAATGTTGGCCTTGTATTTTTAAGTAATGTAAATTATTAACGGTTTTAATATTTATGGAGTTTTTTAATCTTTTTAACCAACCATTTAGTAGCCTAAATTAATTTAAGTAGGTCAATAATACTGTGGCATTGTGCCAAATTTATTATTTAGTATTAAAGAGTAGATCAACTTTTGATGATTATATTAAATTTTTTTTTTTTCACCAAAGGTAAAATTGAAAATATAACCTTTGACCTGTAGAGTATGGTGAATCAAATAATACATTAGGCTTCTACATCACATATTATATTTTCCTTTGATGAAAAGAAAACAGTATTGTACTAACAGTTCTGTACTTTTTGTATGCCACACAAAACATAAAAAATTAACTTAATGGTTTCCCTGCATGTTTATTTATTTTGTTGATTTAATTGCTCTGGTAGTTCATTTTTAGCATACAAAAACTCCCACTGCTGTAAATTGAGATGAGTCATGAACAGCTGTTTTGCAAGAAGTCCTTCAAACTAACATGGAGACTAGGAAAGAGTGGAGTCTGTTTTATTTTTTCTTGAACAGCTGTACATAAATTAGTAAAAGAAAGATGTATATAGTTTCATATGTAAGATATATATTGAGTATTTATATTAGATTTAGGGTTTTGGATGATAAAAAAACCAAATTTATATTTTAAAATGTCCCCTAATTATCAACTGTATGCCTGAAGTGTCAGAGTTGGCCAGTATAATGCCAGCAGCATGGAAAGAGTTAGTCTCTTATAACTGATTCAGTAATTGACTTGTTCTTTCAACAGGTTTTGATACAACAAAAATAACTAAGTAGAAGTTGACAATTTATTTTAATATTTTGGTTCAGTACTATAACTATAAAGATAAACTTAATTATATTTACTAATGAACTTGCGTGAGATTATGTTTTGGCTCTTTTGCCGTAGAATGTTTTATATAATGGTGATTAAAGACCACAGTGTTAATCACTACCTTGTCTAAACAAGGGCAGATATTCACAGAAGATAAACACTGAAAAATCCATATATACAGTGTTTGAATAGTCTTTCTTTACTTTTTCCCCCCTCATCACTGCCTTATTGTTATGGATGTATATGTAAGTCTACAAAGAGGTTTGTAAAGTACCTTTGTTCATGCTTCATCTCATGTGCATCTCATTTTGTTTCAGTTACTGGTTATGAGTTCATTATCCTATGTTTCATACATTATACTCTAGCCTAGTCTATCATATTTGATACTTTTTTTAAATTAGTGTAATTAATTACTTTGAGTTTTTATATCCTAGTTGTTTACCATGTACTTTCTTTTTCTTCTGTGAAAATTAGTAGCTTCATAACAATGCAGTAACTTCAAATTATGAACAATTATTTCAATCATCTTACAGACTTTCTAAGTTCATTGAAAGTTTTTAATACTTAAAAGTAAAGCAAATGAACTGTAAAGGGCATTTCAACACAAAGAGATAAATTTATGCTACTAATAATTTTTAGGGTAATTGAGTATCTGTTACAGGTAATAAAAGTGAGCAGGTACATATCTTAGTGTTATTAAATTATAGCTGATGGTAAAGTGTAAGAAAACGTGAATATGCACAATGATTTTCTAAGTAGAAGCAATAATATATTTGTACACAATTTTTACGTGAATAATCAAGTTAGAAACCTTAAAAACAATACTTGAAAGTAATTAAGAGAACAAGAAGATGATGCGCACCTCTTCCCAGAGAAGGACTATGGGTAGAATTAGGCAGTGAAGGTGCATCGTTACTTAACCATACTGTTTCAGCTGGTTTGGTACTTCTAATAGGTGGAAGTTGGGCAGGTGCTGCCAGCTGCAAATGAGTTTCACTTCCAGGTGATATTTTATTTTTGAACCGTTTTCCCAGATTCTTCTTCTTTCCCTTTTTCTTTTCTATTTAAAAAACAGGAAATAAAACAATAATCACTTTTTTTTAAATATTTCTTTTATCATTACTAGCTTAAGCCTATGTAAGTATCACTTCACACTACATCAATTCAGAGGCCAGAATTCTCATATACTATCATTCTGAAAGTATGTAACAAAATCATTAATATTCCACATTGCTCATGTTGAAAATTTTACACACACCGTACATAAAAGTTGGGAGTTAGTGGAACCAGATAAGTTGATTAATCATCAACTCATTAGTCAATTAAATTCAACTAACTGATTATTCGCACAAGACTTGGGTAGTTGAAATAAGTGAAAACTGCAATAATGGAAAACACTCCTTTCAATTAGTTGCTTATTTTTACTAGTCATGACATCAATTGATTAAGCTGAACAACCTTGAATCAACCCGATATAATAATGAAGAATCATAATGAATGACTTTTACAGTTGAAATAGTCAAAAATAGTAATAACCAAAGAAAAAAAAAGGTGACTATAATTTTTGATAACGTAAGCATATCTTTACAAAATTTTGCAGATTATTAGCAAACATTACAAAGCTTTCATACACAAAATATCAGGTTTTTAAATTAAGTATTAAGATTTTCTTTATTAAAGATTTGTAAATATTTGTGAATTTTTTCTTTCAGAATGTTGACTATCCAACATGCAAAGTAATTTTATTTATCTGAAAACTGTTAAGTTTCATTATTGTAATCTCTATATCCTTCTAGGTAATCATCAAAAGTTTTTCGAATAAAATTATATATTTAATCTGTAATTTTATAAATGCTAGCTCTATATGGTGTTGGACAATTTGACTGACCTCGTAACCATCATAAAAATTAAGAAATAAATCTAAATTATCTTTTTTTTTGTTTTAGAATAACTACAAATTGTAATAGGAAACCACAAATGTTTATTCTAAATAACTTAAATCTCATAACAGTATACATCTATTTATATTTATAAATTTTTGATTTATTGACCTTGGAACGGTGTCTGATTAAAAATACCCTGGCACAAGTTATAAATTACATGAAATAGCGTAAGGCATAAGCTGCTGGCATGTATATCCCATGAAGGTTTATATTATTTTTCTTTCATTATCTTACCTAATAAGTTTCTATTTTTTACATTTTAGTTACTTTTATAATAATAAATAGTGAAACAAATGAAAAATAAAAACCTCGTAATTAAATATGAAACATTTATATTTTCAGTAAAGCTTTATATTTTAGCTGTTATTTTGTTTAGTGTAACATTAAACTTGGTTCTACAGATTTTATTTTTAGTATTGATCACAAGATTTCAAAGTACTTATGGTCAGAGTTTACACTACTCACCTTTTCAAACTTATTTTCTGTAATTATTTTATTGACAGCAGATGGCTACCAAACTAGAAGAAACAAAAATGAATAGTACCGTCTCTCCTTTCTAATATGGACAATGAAGTTCCAAGTAAATCTCCTGAGAGTTTTTTCTAATCTTTTACACCCATTTCCTATGTTTATTCTACTGTTAGCGGCTGAAGTAGAAAAGCAATGAATCACCATTCCTGTTTAGGTTTTACTGTACTTTAACACCATCAGCATCAAATAAGCTTTTGCTGCAAAAGTTCCAGAACTTTCCCTGCTTTGAAAACACAGTTGGGTAGGATTTATTAACTGGTTGACAGTATAAATTGTCTAAAGTATTATAAAATTCTTATGCCATGGCTTTGTAGAAAGTCTGGGCCGATCCAATAAACATGTTAGGTATTTGATTGTTAGTCTGAAAACACAGTGGGATATGATTCATCAGCTTGTTTACCAGTAAAGTGGTTGCAACAAGAATTGTCTAAAGTACTATATAAAAGTGAGTGAAAATATTCATGATATGGCCTGGTATACAGTTGTATCCAATCCAATAAACTTGGGTGGTTGGGATTTAGTAGTAATGTAGGTGTGAAAGAGGTTATGAACATTCTGTTTCCTATTTTACTATGCTTACACAGTAATCTATAAATGTGTAGTTTCCAATATTTTGTAAGGTACAGTGAGGTTTGGGTTACCATACATTATGTGTGTGTGTGTGTGTGTGTGAGTGTGTGTGGATATATATATTATTATTAACAGTAAATAAAAAATAGTCAGAAAACAATGACCTCCACTACTTACAATGTTTTGAAGCTCTCTTTTGCACTCGTGAGTCATACTTGCTAACCCTCGCCATAAGCCTTGTCCAAATTCACATGCCAATGTTAAAAAAAATAGCTTTGGAAAACTTTATATATGCATTTTTGATTACCAAAAATTATAAATAACTACACCAATATCACAAAAATCTATTGTAATTCATCAGGCTTCCTAACTATGCTGTATTTGGGTCTAAAAAAATCTAATTATGTTCAGAAAATAACATTGATCATAATATTTCTAACTCTCCAACAATATAAGAGCTTTCCTCTTGTAAATAATATAGAGAGACTAACAGAATTATGTAGAGGAAATGTAGAGTTTTTGATTGGTTATAAACTTATAGGGATAAAAAAAAAGCAAGTATAGATAAACAAGTCTTCTCAAATGATGAAGTGTTGGGCAGAACCAATATGGTGGATTTGATAAATATTATGATATCTCAGCAAATAGAACAGGTAGGAGGTTCTTATTTTATATTCTAGCTTGCCAATATTGGAAATTTGAGTTTATAATTTGCATGAAACAATAGAAAAGAAAAAAACAGCTAAGAAATAAAATATAGTAATGTTTTTATTACCATTTTTGGAGCTTTTATCAATTGGAGGAAGATACCCAACAATGGAGTTTCCACTAAGAGGATCACTGCTGTCAACATCAACTGAACTCTGGAGTTTTGGTTCACTGTCTGTTTCAGACTGAGCACCGATTACTTCCTCATTGCTTGGAGAGTCTTCAAGACTTTCATCACTTATCTCTGGTTTAGTAACAGGTGTGTGGGTGGGTGTAACCTGTATTATTTTGAATCCATCTGACTCATTTTCTAGTTTAGAATGTTCTTTTTTCTCCATTTCTTCCTGTTGACAAAAGTATGAACTAAATTTTTCTTCACAGTATTGAAAGTATAAATGGAAAATTTAAGTCAATAATGATCTAATATTTCACAGCAAAAAAGAAAAAAAAAAATTTTACTACTTAAATTAAAACCTTAAATAACCACAAAAATAATACACATAGTTGTAATGCACTGGATGCTGCTTATTGTGACCACAGATAATGTTATCAGAATTACTAAGTCTTGGCCAAACATATAAAAATACATAGGAAAAACATCGTTTATTGTAATCAGCGCTTCATTTTTTGTTATCACTTTTAATTGGCTTAACCATCTCAAGGTCAAGCAACCTGAAAAAGGTTAACCATAAATTATGGCATGGCTAAGTTGTCATTAAGATCCCTTACGTTCTTGCATTTCTTTTCCATAATTACAGTACAGTTTTTTCATTCCTTTGTGAAAGACGGTACTCCAACAAATTTCAATTTTTGTTAACCATCTTTAATAATGGAAGAAGTGCATAAAAAACATAAAAATATAACTCTTAAATTAAAGAAAAAGATGATAAGTTAACAAAAATGGGGCAACATAATGCAGCAGTGCAATTAAAAATTTCCCAACCTCTTATGCGTAAAATTAAAAAAAACTCGAGCAGACATTGAGAGGGGAGCAAAACAGAATGAAAACCTAAACTGTAAGAGAATGCGCAGTCGAAAAGATGACCAGGTCAAATCAGCATTAAAACTTTGGTTTACTAATGTTCGTGAACCAGATGCTCATGTAAATGGACCAATGATGCAGCAGAAAGCAGAAGAGATAGCTACAAAAATGGGAAAAGACAATTTTGTTGCAACGGATGGGTGGTTTAATCGTCGGAAAAAATGGGAAAAACGTTGTATACAAAAGCACTCATAGTGAGCAAAAAGATACTGATTTCTCAGCAGCAGTAACTTGGATTGAAGAAGAATGGCCTAAAATTATCACCGAATATTTGCCTGATAATTTTTACAATGCAGACGAAACTGGATATTATTATTGTGCCTTGCCTGAACATACTTATCTGTTCAAAAATGAGAGTGCACAAAGCTATTAAACTTTGAAGGAACGTGTGATAGTCCTATGCTGTGTAAGTTTGTCTGGTAACAAAGAAAGGCTTTTGGTGATCGGAAAAACCAAGAATCCACAGTGTTTTAAAGGTGTAAATAAACTGGATTGCTTGGATGACAACCCTGATCTTTAATGTTTGGTTAATGAAATAGGATAATGAGTTAAAACACAACATTGTTCTGCTTGTTGACAACTGTACTGCACATGCTGTTAATGTGCCATTAAAACATATTAAGGTTATTTTCTTACCCGCAAATACGATGTCACTGATCCAACCATGCAATCAGAGAATTATCCAACATTAAAGGCTTATTACTGTCGAGAAATGTGCACTAGAATCTTAGAAAATATGGTGGACACTCAACAACTGAGTGCAAATGATTTAGCCAAAAAACTAATCTCCTGCATCTATTAGCCAGTGTCTAAAAAGACAATCCAGAATTGTTTTAATTATGGGGATTCTCAAAAGAAGACAAAGAAACAGAGGAAATTGTAGACAGACCACCTGAAAAAAAAAGGTCAGAGAGAGAGAGAGAAGATATTAACTAACATTTAATGGCTATATGATAACATAAACCTCATTTACTATATATATCGTGTATATATGTATCGAAGTATGTGGCCGAAATAATAAATACAATGTAGCGCCATCTAATGAAAGGCACCACAAACAAAAAATCCACAAATAATTTCACACTTTGGTTATTGAAGATCAAGACAATTAGAAAAATAACTATGTTACGTGCAACAACCATTTCTTTATCACAGAACACAATTTTAAATAAAAGTACTTTCCTATAAAAGAACACAACTTTCACTAGGACTGTATGTGAGGGTTTATTATATCTTTATTGATACAATTTGTAAATATAGTACTAAAAAAACTTAGTTTTTCAATAAAGGGTACCACTTTTAATATATAAAAACATTACAGTTTATATCAGCACAATCCAAACACTTTCTCCATGCAGTATTTCCAAGTTAAGTATGAATACTAGCATAAACAGCCGCCTGCATGGTGGCATTTCTGCTAGTTTTTATAATAATTAATAAATGACATTTATTATATTGCTGAAAATTTTCATTAAAAATTATTAGATTAAATATCAAAGCCTGAAGATATATATGAATAAACATACTCGAATTTGCTTCACTGGTTTGAATGGATTCCCAATAACAACATCATCATCATCGTCATCATTGTCACTTTCTTCAACTTTGTTGCAGCCGTCCTTTAACTTTTGTTCTCGTTCTAATCTTTCTCTGGAAGAATGAATCAAATCTCTGATATATAAAAAAAATCATGAACTGTTTCATAATAAAATTTTATATCACAATTTTTATCCAATACATATAACTCTCATACTGACAAACTTACTTTATTTAATATGCAAAACATTCCACGCAAGGTGAATTTGGAATAAAAAAAATTACTAACATTTATTATTTTGCATGTGTGAGATGTGAATATATCACGCATTTCTTATCCCCTTTGATGCTAAACAAATTTTTCAAATTTTCAATGTATTTCAGAGTTTATTTCAATATAAAACACCAATCAATGGAACTTGTGTTTTGTCTAGCCTTAAGGTACTCTGCTTCACTTTTTTAAATTTGTAAATTTTAATTTTCTCCTTTTGTTTACTTAATTACCCTTAGCCCAATCGGCTCAGTACTCTGCTGACCTCTAAACATCATGTAACCTTTTACCACGAGCAGGGTGAAGGAGGATTGTTTAATCTTCGAGCACCCTAGATTAATAATTATTTCTTCGGAAATAATTATTTTTAAATCTAAATAACTGCCAATTCTTCTTCTTCTTCAACTACCAAGTTTCTCTGGTCTTGGTTATTCAGCAGAATAGAGTTTTGAAGGTTGTAGTATGTTCTTTCTTTAGAAGAGATTACTATAGCATGAACTATGGTATGAATAAAAGCAGTGGTCTGTTTTACTTACAAACCATGAAACTGCCTAATGGTATAATCCACTCCATTGTTATTATGAAAGTGGCACTCAGGTGTGTGAATAGCATATGCACTTGGCAAGCGAGAGAAAATTTTATATATTATGTAATACTTATTCCTTTGTTTGCCAAACTTAAAATTCAATATGGATTGGATTGAGATTTCAATCTGCAACTTAAGAGAATTCAGCAATGTAGACAGGCTACTTTTCAAAGAGATTCTTTGACTTGATCGCTTTTCTTGAAACACTTAAAATGTGTTAACACACCTTCTAGCTTTAGAACAAAGCAGTTAAAAAGCATAAATAAAACTCTCTCTAGTCAACACACATATATAAGCACTTTTCTAAGTGTTAACTAAAATTCAATTTGATTTGTGAATAAAAGCTGTGATTGTTTACACCCTGTAATACAATATTTGACAAATTCTCCTGTTTTTTCAGTTCCTACAGAATACTCTGAGAGAAATCAGGGCAAACTAAGAATACCACACAAGTATCTAAATTATAGCTCATAAACTATTAAAGAAAGTTAAACTTATTGTAATCTTAAAGTAAAATCATAACACACCAAGTTTTAAACAAAAAACTGCTCTGGAATGTTACACTTCTAATAGTTTGTTAGTGTCTACAGTTATCAAGTATATTATAATTCAAAGTTTACATTATTAAAGTTAATATTCCTTTATTTCAAAAGAAACCTCTGGTTGCTTATATTTTTGTTTAGGTTTGTCTCAGTACCTCTACAATACTCTATGTGGGTTCTACAAGTACTAGGTCAAAGTGAAAACATTAGTTTTATTTTAAAGAGGCAAAGAATTAGCTTATTACTTGCTCTTTTTTGGTAGATGCCACACTCACATTCCAAAGTAATCTGTTGCTAAGAAACAGTCTTTTCTAGACATAATGGCATGTTTATAACCAGGAGAGAGAGAGAGCAGACTTCTCACTTAATTTCTCCAGGCTAAAAGGAGGCATAGGCCATAAATTATACTTGAAACAATAAGCTAACTGCCACTTATTCATTGTTGAAATCGGTACACTTAGTTTGAACAAAAATTAATTTATCTTCCCCTCCACTTGAGAAAAAAACAAGGCTTAGCAAATATGATGTATAAGTACAAGTCAATTTTGTAACATTATAAGTACTAGAAATAATTGTTTTTCTACATATTTTATTCATTGTATTATGTTTTAAGAAAAATAACTAAACATTAAGCATTTATGAGTAAATAGTAATAATATATATACATGTTCATAAGCACTTACACACTTTGTAAACCTATACTGCTAAATTCTTACCACCCTGGGAGAATAAAAAACGTCCAAATACCTACCAAGTTTATTGGACTGGCCCAAACTTTCTACAGAACCATATCGTAAACATTTTCTTGCATTTTATTACCTTAGACAATTCTACTTGCAACCACTGTTCTCGAAACAAGTCGATAAATCATTTCCCATTGTGTTTCTGGAGCTGGAATTACTTTAAACTCAGTGAGAAAGTGTAACTAATTAATAGTTGCAAATGTTGATATTTGATGTAAGATGATTTAGTGTTAGCTTATGAAAAAAATCACAAAAAGTTTAATTATTTTTCAAAAGCTCTGAATTTTGTAAATATTTTAAAACAAATCTACACAAAGCTTATTTAATTTTGATTCAAAATGTTAACTTATTTTTTTTTTCTTTACACTAAACTTTATGAAATGCTAATTATTAAATGAGTAACTACCTTTCAGCTCTTGCCTTTTGTACGCGTTCAAGTCGTGCTTGTCTCTCTTTCTCTTGCCATTCTTTCTGCTCTTTGGTTTCTTGGTCAACCCGTTCTTTCAAGCTTTTGAAATTCTTACTGATGTACCCAATAAGCCATTTAAAGCCCATTTCAATCCCTGGATCCATTTTCTTTGCTTGTCGTTTGATTGCACAGGTTGTCTCCTATACAAATACATGTAGGAGTCATTCTATTTTAATTACATTGTAAAGTTTATGTTAACATAATTGTATAGAGTAGAAACAAATCTCAGCCAATTAAATGGGAATAATTAATATACCACTACTATTTAAACTCCTAATCACTCACACATGCATTTTTGAATAAATAACTGATGCTTTAACATACAAAATACAAAAACACCAATTTTTAAGGTCATGCTATGACTGCAAAACTTAACTGCATTCATAACCAACCATTTTCTCCAAGGATACTTAAAATGACAACAAATAACTGAAAACAATGATGCCTCCCTTAATAATCACAAAATGTCACAGATAAATGTGTTGAGAGAAAAAAAGTGTTTTCAATAATTCTGTGATTTTATAGCAATTAAACATACAGTGAGAATTCAGAATCTTGTTTTTAATCAAAAGTTTCTGACAATATTTTTGTTAATTAAATACATGCCACACACATTACTTATCTTTCACAAATAGTTCTATACAAATGGATACTAGAGAATATGTGCTTAACTGACAAACCAGTTAGAAAGATTTCTGTAGAAATGATCCATAATTTATGGGTTTAAAAAATGCCTTAAGTTACGTATGGTCTATGGTAATGTGTTTTTCTTTCCTGTGCTTCATCTCATTATAAGTCACTTTTCTAAAACATATATTTCCTTGTCTATAGTTTGTTTTATTATACAGTTAGAGCTAGGAAATTAACTCAATTATCTTGAGCATCAATTAATACATTAGTGTCGCATACAATAACCAATTAATCAATTAATGTTACAATTCATGAAAATAACAAGTAATCAAAATTTGTTTTTGGTTATTCCAACTACTCAAGTAATAGAAATATTTTCATTCTAATTGTTATTTTAAAATAATTCAAGTTTCTTCAGCTTAAGCAATTAATATAATTACTCATGAAAATAATCAGCTGACCAAAATTAGTATTTTTCGGTTATTCCTACTATCTAAGCAACCAAAAATATTGCTAATATGATTTCTCATTATTTATTTATTTTTGATGAATTCAAGTTTGTTCAGCTTTAGGCTGACATGAGTGGTTGTATCAGGATTTTGAGGGTCACTGGTTTAATTCCTTTTGCTACCAACCATACTTGGCCTTTCAATTGTGAGAGCGCAATATTTATTTCTTTGTTTTTGATTATGACATCATCCTTAATTTTCAACTGCCAACCTGAGGGAAGGAAACTGGTCAGCAGTACCTGCCAACAACTGTTACACTACACATTTACTACTGAAAAATGTGACTGAACATGACAGTTATTACTGTTTCTGTTGAGAGACTGTGCACTACAGTGTGGATGCATTCTGTTTGCACACAATGCATAAATATGAGGATGTGGCCATTAGTTACATAACTATTCACAGTCACCATTGTTTTGATTTACTTTGTTTGGCAAAACAATAATTGTAGCTATAACTCAATATATTGCTTACTTATTACAAGCTATAAACATAACCAGTTTTACTTATGATAAGACTGTTTTAAAAAAAGAGGAACATCAAATTAATATTCATTATATGCTCAAAAGGAATCTTCTTCTTTATTTTACCTTAATCCCATTTAAATTTTGGGGTTGTCTGCTTAGGTGGCTGGCTCTAACAACAACTCTAAAGGGTGAGCACGTTTAGTGATGGGGATTGCAAGTCAAGCACCCTAACCATCAGGCCATGCCACACCTTATAAGCTCAAATGAAATGTTGACTGCCAAATAACTTGCTCATTTAACGGAGTTTGTAAGAAACCACTAGACATGGACTAACAGCAGACTGATAATGTATATAACATCATTAAGTCATGAACCTATTTGCATGAACAGGGCTCAGGCTAGAGAGGAAGCACTGAAATAGAAAAACAAAAGTCTATCATCATGTGCCATTTAACCCTCTGTATATGGGCTTAGTTTCTTTGACCAACCTTGCAACTACTATGTAACCATGAAACCATAAAACTTTTAATGCAGTAAATGTATCTTCACAGAATTTGGCAAGTATTTTTGTACAGAAAAAAAATTGTAATTAAGTATTTTTACTAAAGATTTGTCTATGAGTTTATGGAGTTAAAAACTGACTCAAATTTTTAATAGTCTGAGCACAAAGTGATTTTTATATTGGGCTAAAAATACTTTTTTTATTGTACTGTTTTCAAAGTTAAAATTTTTCTACACTGAAAATATATTTCTGATGAATAGCTCAACTCACATAATAACTTTTCTTGTTTAATGCTGCCCTCTATATGCACAAATATTTCACTCGCCACTAGCCTCAATATTCTCACCCACCTCACATGTTTAATGTGGTACAACTGTATTGTAGCATGCAAATAATCATGCGACAACCCTCCAACAATAGGAGTGAAATACACTCTCCTGTCACAGCTGGCTATAGAACCCAATCTTCACTTCGAGATGATACAAAAAAAAAGCACCAGAAGTAGGGAGGTAGAGTAGGAAGTGTGAGAAGAAGTAAGTATCTATTGAAAATTTAAAATCTAAAGTCATTATAGTTTTGATACTACTAATTTTCAACATAGTATGTACATCTTCACAAAATTTGGCATGTATTCAGTAAACATTCTAAGTCTTTCAAATATAAAAAATCATATTTTTAGTGAAGTATCTTTAATAAGCTAAAAAACGATCTGTCCATGAAAATATCAAGTCTTTTTATTGACTAGTCCAAGTGCAAAGTGATTTTCATGTTAAGATTAAAAATACTTTTCTTCATCTCAAATTTCCTTTGCGTAATCTCTAAAACCTTGTAAAATACATTTTATGAATTTGTTTTCATTAAAACTTATATTTTATGTTATTTTCTCTAACCCAACTTTATACAAGGTTGTTCAATTTGACTGACCTCGTAACCACCAATAAAAAAATCTAAATAAATCTAAATTACCCTTTTTTCTTTCTAAAATGACTTCAAATCGTAATATGAAACTATATTTGTTTATCCTAAATAGCTTAACACTCGTAACAGTATACCTCTATTTAGAGTTCAATGTTATTGTTTCATTGCCCTTTGGACCCCATCTTACTTGGTTGAGGAAATCTTGAAGACAGCACAAAATGTATGAAATTGACAAAGAATAACTTAAAATTGATGATGAGAATGTGCAAGCCTCATAAAGAAAGCAGTAAATTGAAATATTATCTTTCTATTGGTTATAAATAATCAGACAGCAAATGTCAGAGATAATACTGACATTTTTAGCCTCAGCATAGCAGCTAATAGAATGGATCTGTATTGTTTTTTTTTCTTTTTTCCGAATATAAACTTTTAACTCATAGCTCCATCACCTCTTGACCGACTTGAGATCTAATTACAGTTTTTTACTCAGGAGGTCAAACCCTTTTGATTGATGTATTTGACCAGGCCCAAGATCTCATAGATTAATTTACTCTAATCATGCCTAAAAGAATTTCAATTTGAGGGTAGGCTGGTAGAGATCCTGATGAGTAATAAAATTTAATTGGGTGTATACGAGTCCCACGCTTGGTATTGCTGGCACACAAAAATATAGCTGATAAAAAGGAAAATAAATGTTTCATAGATTAATTACTCTAATCCTACCTAAAAGAATTTCAAGTGCCACTGCTATTGAAGATTCCCTCTTGTTTAAAGTAAGTATGTGCTAGGAGGAACATGGCATGTGAGTTTCAGTTTATGACATGTAACTCATTAAAGCAAGAATAAAAGCCATAAATTTTCCTTTTAGCGTGGGTATATCTGAGGTATAAGTACGTCCTTAGGAACTTAGAGCGAGAGAGAGAAATTCTAAGGTGGGGAATTCGGAGCAAAAACTTGTTACACGATACATACAAGTCAAGATTGATAAGTTATATTACCTTCTGAAATTAAAACTTATATAATATTGAAATTTCAATTATAAATTAAGTTTTGATGCAAAGTTTATTGACATACATTAATAATAAAGTAGTTTAATTAAATTTTGAATGTAACTCCGTAAAAAAAAGTTGTGACATGTGCACTTTGACCTAACATAGTACATAAGTTGTTTGATTTATTGCTCAGCATGTTTCTACAGTTCCTTCCAGACTGTACTGTAAAATATTAATCATTTTAATGTGCCCATACCAACAACTCCTCACTTAAAGTTTAAAATTTTTCACAGTGATGAAGGAATTAGAAAAAAATCTAAAATGCTGAAATTAAATATTTTTATAATACTTCAGTTTCCACCCTGTGAATAAGCTCAGTCTCTGTATAAAAGATCTAGCATCATCAGAAGTTTTCTTGCTAAATAGTAAATGTCTTTTTAGGATTTTTACTACATTTATCGGATGAAATCTATGGACAATTATTTTTAGGACAAATTAATTTAATTATTTTTAACAGAGCAATCTTGCACACATTTGTAGTGAGAATCCACGAAATGGTATCAATTGTATTTTAAGCTTGTTACAGGTTTTGTATTCTATTGTGCATATGATACATTTTCGTGTACAACAGTTTAGGATTCAGAAAGTAACATAATCCTAAATATTCTACCAGAAGACGTCTATTATAGTAAATGAAAGCTAGTTCAAAAATGTCTTTAAATAACCCAAAACAAACTGAAAATAGGAAGATTAGTCTCGTGAGGATAATCGACTAATGAATTTGATGACGAGGAACCAACTTTTTAGAATAAAAGTTTGGAGATGGCTCGACACAGTCAAGCTGTCTTCCAAACTTTTAATCGACTAATGAGTCTAATGATTAAGCAAGTAGCAAATTTCACTAATCGTCCACCTTTTAATTATAAAATATATACGAATACACGTATGTCTAGACCCTGAAGGACTATATACACAAACTTCTGCAGTTGTAAAATGCAAGCTCATCAATTAGAAATAGAAGAATTTGTTTCAATTATCAGAATTCTGTTCTCACTTATACTTTTTTAAATTAATTAAGTTCACAACAATGTGTTTAACAAAATATATTTTTATACAAACATTTATTCAAGATTTTGAAAGTAATATCAATAAACAAATTCTGAATGTCTTTGGAGCATTATACTGTCATTAGTACTACAAAATGTTTCAATTAAAGGCTAATGAGAGAAAAAACAAAAAACTCCAATATTAAATAAATCTAGCATCAGCACAATTTGAACACTGAAAACCTTACCACTCTTGTTGGGCATTTCTGGTCATTCACAACATTTTCTAGGCCAAGAAGACTACAGAGTTCAATCTCATTCACGGCTACTTCTTGATCTTGTTTATTTAATAACCTAAAAGCATTACAAAAATAACATACATAATCTGTGAGGAAAAAATTATTATGAACTCTACAAATTACTCAAAAAAGATTTCAAAATCTAAACTAACTGTTTTACAAAAATACGTATAATTTTATTCCAAATCAAAAGTTAATATATATATATTTGCCAAATTCAAATTATGCAAGTTTTTAAGGTTTTCAAAAATGGTATTCCTTCAAACGAAAAGTAATCCTGACTGAAATTGACATGCTTGTTGGTTTTTTTTAGTTTTAAAACACATTTTTAGCCATAGATTAAACTCAATAATTATTTGACAAAGGAAAGTTAAGAAAACTTTTCTATATAAAACATGTTTTCCACAACTACAATGGTTCCAGGTCTCAATATACTGTGAAATTTAAAACAAAACTGAGACTAAAAAAAATGTTTCTTCTTCTATATTGCAGTATAAACTAAACACTTGAGTAGGTATAATTATGTATCAAAAGCAAGTTAATATGTTTACTATCCATTCATTGAAATTCCAATTTTAAAATGCATTAAATGAAAGAAACCTTCATAGCTTTGATGTATAACAGTAATATATCTACACTGTTTTTAATTGATGGTGTTTTTGGCAAAAAAAACACCCTAAGTTACCCACTTCTAATTTCATTAGTCATTTATACCAAAAAAAGTGTGAATATTACATTTAATGTATTATACTTCTCTAAAACTTAAATAGATCAACTGGCTATTAGTGTGTATCCAATTCAATGATGCTACATATAACCTACTGCAATAAGCATTGTTAAAAAGACACAAATAGTAAAATAGGCTAGAAAATTACTGATTTAGTGACAAAGAAAACATCACAAGATTTAATTTAAATAGCCCTACATTTTTAAGGTACAGCGAACTTATTATAAATGATGTACAATCATAATGTACGTAATCCATCATTTTTTATTTTTTTCTAAGACACTTACACATTATCAATGTCTTAAAATTGTTTGTGTTTCATTTTGTTTCATTCCCCTACTACATTTTTAATAGATTTATGATGTTAAACATACTTAGTTTGAAAGAGAATAAAGATCTGAACTTTGTCCAGGAAAGAAAAACAGATGCAAATGATTGCTTTAAGGATACCAATATGAATTTAGATTTATCAAAATGCAAATCAAGTCATATAAATAATAAAATAAGAAAGTATACTGCAACTTTCCGAAAAGACAAAGTACCAAATGAGTAAACTATATAATTTTAACATGTTTCATGAAAATATACAAGTTCTGGTTTCTTGTAATACAAAAAACACACCAATGTTTTTAGTTTTACAAGTATAATACACACTTTTTAAGGTATATATGAAAACTTTTAAAGCATGGCCAATGTAAGAAAAAGAGAAAATCAAACCGTTCCTACAGAGGCTGGAATGTAGGTTGAGTGAGCTATAACTATCCCCCCCCCCTCTCAACATTAGAAACTTTTCCACAAAAAATCTTTATATGGTTAGATTCTATAAAATCTAAAACATTTACATGTCAATAACACCAATTGTAAGTTACAAAATTAAGCAAACTATGCTTACAAAATTTTGAAATGTAGATTAATATATAGAAACCAAACAAGTCACAAAAAACAACAATAACAACATGATATTCATGATGTCAGAAAAAGACATAGGTTCAATAAATCTTGATCCAAAATGATAAAAACCCTATAACCATAATGATTTCGAAAGGTGGACCATACTTCTTCATGGGCACACATTTTGCCCCTGAAGAAGAAAGGTCCACATTTTGAAAGTGCTTGGGTTATAAGGTTTTTATCATTTTTATCTATAACCGTTAAGATTAAATCAGACTCCAGTAAAGAAAAAGACACTTACATTAACACAGGTTTTCCAGCTATTCGGGGATCTTGCAGAACTTCTGTGATAACATGTTTCATTTCTGGAATTCTTGAGGCTTCAGTTGCATCCATCACAAAAACAATCCCATATACTAAAGCATAGTAATTTTTCCAGATTGCACGGATCTTACTTCCTCCTCCTAGATCATATATAACAAGACGGAACTTTCCATATGTCCTTTCTATGTTGGAAAACCCTACAGTTGGTACAATATCATCTGTTGATTCTGAAAAATATACACAATTACACAGTGAAGCTCCTTTTATCATCCATGGGTAAATGATACTAATTATCAACCAGTTTTGATAATGAATATTTCCTGTGTTGGTAGTGGCCAGGATTCAATCCTAGTTCTTCTTTGATGGAAGTCTGGTGCATCACCTACCCGACATAAGTTTCCCCCATTAGAACCGAAATCAACTAACTTTTTGAATGTTTTCAAGAAGGGTATCCAGGTGTTGCTGATTTCCATGCTAGGTTGATTAACAGTGTTAACAGTCAAGTGGATGAAGATCCATGTTGATTAGATAACATGCCAGACTTCAATAAAGAATTGGGATCAAATCCTGGCCATTACTAACAGGAAAAATAATCCTTCTTGGGACTTCCCTGAAGACAGCAGCAGATCAGCAGTAGTATCATATGATAAAATCTAGTTATAAGTATTAGAAGTGGGCTATTAACTGAATATACCATTAGCTTCAGGCCTTCAATTTTGCAATGGGTTCAAGATCCCCCTGTTAATGCACATTTTTAATTTTAATATAGGAGCAAACTATTATTGATAATCTTCTGCTGTGCCTTATTTTTACTACCAACATTATGAAAGTTACCACAATAATTGTAAGATTGATTTTAAGAAATCCAATTAATCTACTTAAACTTTCCTACAAGTTTTTTCCATGAAAAATTACTACAATAATATCAGATTGTTATTGCTTATGTCTAAATGTTTTTATATATTGAAAAAATACTGTGACACCATTATTTAACACATTTTTTTAAAACCAATTAAGTCTTAGCTATTACATGTCTCCCAAACAATATGTATAAATTTTGATAATTACAAAAATCTATTCAAAGCAATTGTTTTATCTTGTATTACAAAAACAAAAATAAATATAACTGCTATTTCTAAAAACTTCACTATGTTGTTATATTTTGTATGTATATAACACTTCCATTTTCTTTAATTTGCATGCATTGAGTGACAACTACATACATGTATCTATCACCTCCATTTAAAAATAACTACACTGTAATATTGTAACATTATATTAAACCTTTTCTTCAGTTATGATGAACACATTCATTCAATCCTATTAACCTAAAATCAGCATATGTGAAACTACATTTTATTTAATTGACAACGCACTTAAGAATATACTGGTATAATATAAATAACACTTAAAGCATGAAAATATATTTCATATACTTTAAAAAAAGTTTCTCATCTTGTTTCAGTCTTAAATTATAGCTTTTAATAACAGCTCTCTCACACAAGATTGAACTTTACATTTCCATCTCTAACACAGTCCATTTCAATGTATATACAGATCCATATAATGAAGCCTAGACTAACTGAACACTATGTGTAACAAAGTCCATGATAGGCAAGTTTCATACATAACCAGGAGAAAGCTAGTGAAGCTCCATTTATGTACATATAAAGGTTTGTGCTACTAAAGCTTCATACACACACACACATGTATCAAAATTAAAAAATTTTTGAAATAAAATAAATTTCAAAAAGATACTTACTCCTATATACAGCAATAACTTTCTCCAAAATTTTGACTGTTACATTAAAGTTAACACCCTTCTCTCCTATTCATCATTCTGTGATGGCATGTCCACATGTCTCTTCCTGAAAGAGACCACTCCTTCATCCAGTGGTTTTCTGTCACATGTTTGCACACACTCACAATGAGACTAGACAACATTAACCTTTTAAGACAATTGTTCTATCTGAGACCAAAACCAGGAATGGAGGGAAACACATATTGAGATGAAATAAATTTTGAAATTAACTTTAATTTGAAAAATGAGTCTAAAATTAGTCAACTTATCTTTATTTCATGAAATAACTACAATACCCACTTTAAAAATGGATGGTGGGATGCAGGAATAAATATAAAGCAGCATTCTTATAAATGGAATGAATGGCCAATTAGAAGCTCAAAGTTAAGTATGAATTACCCATCATAGTCTGTCCAGAAGTTCCAAGGGCATGAGAAAAGTAGAAAAACAAGATTAAAAGAGTCTAATGCCCACCTCTAAGCATGGGCCAGTGACAGATCCTGTAAAAAGGTGTATAGACATGCCTTCCATGACTACCTTGTTTGGCAGCATAGATATCAGATGTGTCAAGGATTGCTTAAGTTTAGAAGCTCAAATCCTAATTCCAGAGAAAATGCCATGCCTGGATCTTTTAGCACAGTCCATACAATTCTCATGACCAAAAGAAATAGTATTATGAGCAATCTGATCTAAAACAAAAAAGATTTCATTCTGATAAAAAAGCATACAAAGAGCATTTGGTATTTGAAATGCCTACAGAGGTAGAATCTTTATCCAATCTTCTTATGTGACTAATATATTCCCAGATTCTATCACGTAGATGGCGGCCTGTCTGTCCAACATATAATTTTTCATATTGTTTCCATAAAATAGAGTAAATCAAGCATTGAGATATGCAAGTGAAAAACTGTCATATGTTGAAGGAAAACTTAAACCTGTGTATTTCAGTACTATTGTTTACACATTTACAACTGATACACCTGGATTGTTCACACTGTTAAGTATCAAGTGCTGGATGAAAAAAAAGCTATGCACTTGACGGTTATGAACATTTGTGTCATGTCAGTGGGATATTAATGGTCAATCATTAAAAATGATGCTGGTGGACAAATCTTTTGAGAGTAACTTGTTGTTATTCATGATGATGTTTTTAACTTTTTTGTTTCCAGGATGATATGTCAAGACAAGAGGAGTGCGATTTGTATTGTCTTTTTGCAATTAGTCATAAAAGTGATCCATGGGATTTAAAATTCACTGTTGACACAACCTTGGATACAAGAGATTTGGGGTAATCTCTTTTGGTGAAAATCTGAACCATTTCTTGTGTTTTGATATTGATGTTACCCTCCTCACTACATAACATGGGAATTCTTAAGGTCTGGGAGTAAGGGATTGATTGTTTGATGCTATATGGATGAGAAGAACCAAAATGTGGGTAGTAATGAAAACTGGTGGTTTTACAATGAGAAAGTTAAATATCCAGAAATGGTAGTTTTTTTGCTGGAGATTGTTCATGTAAATTGAAGGGCAGAGTTAAAAGTAGCTAGATGAATCAGGAATTTTTCCAAGTTTTCTCTACACACAGAGGATATCTGCTAATAACATCATCAATTATCTGTACCAGACAGTCATCATTTTGCCAGTATATTGCTCGAAGATGTGTTTTTCAACATAGGTGACAAAAAAAATTCTAAATAATAGTCCCATTTTAGTCCCCATAGTGGCACCACAAGTTTGTTTATAAAAGTTACTATTGAAAGAGAAAGCAGTCTAGGTAAACACAAGTTCAGCTAAACAAACGAGAGCATGTGTTGGAGGATCTTAAATTTCACTGAGGTCCAAAAAATGATTGAGTACAAGATTGCCTTCATTTTGTGCAAGTTGATACAACAGGATGATCTGGTGTCTGTTCTTGGGTAAAAGATAAAACACTGGAGTTCTGGTGTTCTCTTCCATCAAATTCTTGGTGCTGATAGGTAATTCTTCAAGATCGACCAATTTTTCGAGGGTTGAATTTACAAGTTCACAGTAACTTGGAAGAAGGTCTTCCTGAATTTGTAGGTAGTAGCACCGATCATTTAATTGTGTTTGAGCTTCTTGTAAATATAGATCTTTGCACCAAACTACCCTTGTATCCTCCCTTGTCAGCTGGTTTGATTACAATGTCAGTTCTTTTTCTTAATTTCTTAGACTTGAAAGCTCAGGTTTACTGTGATTGTTGTATATAATTATTTTGTACAAATATAGGTTATTAACTTAATTTCTACACTTCTGAATGCAGTAATCTAGTGTAGTGAGTTGACCTGGAGGTGGAATCCAAGTGCTAATATTATGTTTAAACTTCAAGAAAGGATCTGTGGCAAAAAATACTGGAAATAGGTTATGAATTAAAGAAATGAGCTCTGTGCCTCAATTTGCAGAAAAACTTTTCAACATTGGACATAGTGATGAAAATATTGACATGATTTTGGACAGAAACAAACATGAGACAGAAAGATCAGATGGAGTTAGTTCCAGATAAAAGGGAATTGTAAGTACCAAGTTTGAAGATTGTTGAGTTTTTGTTTGTACATCTGATTGAAAATTAAACTGTTTATCTAAAGATTTGGGAAGCTACTATCAGTTACAGTATTGCAGATGTAATGTTATGTGTTCATTTTGTTACCTGTATTTAAATACGCATTAGCTTCTATTACTCTATATATTCTTACAGCAGGTACTGGTGAGCTGGCTGACTCAGAAGATTGCCGAGACATGACAGAATTGTGAGGTTCTTTTGTGGAATACTCTGTGTTAAGCTGACTTAAGCACTTTCAAATAAATACAGAACTGATAGTTTAATATATGAATCTTCTGAAGACTGTTAAAAGCTCATATCCCAAAAAAATTTGAGATTGTTATTATGTTTTTAATGTTAGCCAAGCACAATTCACACACAGTTCATGGTCTACGTTTCTTTGAAAATTCAAGAGCGAGAACTCTACTGGGTGGAAGTTAAATTGAAAACTATACAGTACAAAATGTTTACAAAGATGGGTGCTTAAGAAAACAACATGGCTATTTAACACTACCAATATGGGCTGGGTGGGATCCACCCAAATCATAACCACAAAAGTATCCATGAGAGTACTTGTACTATAATTTTTGATAACATAAGCGTATCTTTACAAAATTTTGCAGATTATTAATGAGCGTTACAAAGCTTTCATACACAAAATATCAGGTTTTTAAATTAAGTATTAAGGTTTTCTTTATTAAAGATTTGCTCTTGAATTTTTTCTTTCAGAATGTTGACAATCAAACATGCAAAGTAATTTTGATTTCAAGTTTAAAAATACTTTTCTTTATCTGAAGATTGTCATGTTTCATTTGTGTAATTTATATATCTTTCTAGGTAATCATCAAATGGTTTTTTTTTTAATAAAACTTCATATTTAAACTGTTCTAGCTCTATATGGTGTTGGTCAATTTGACAGATCTCGTAACCATCACAAAAATTAGGAAATAAATCTAAATTACCATTTTTTTGTTCTAGAAGAACTGCAAATTGTAACATAAAATCACAAATGTTTATTCTAAATAGCTTAAAATCTCTTAACAGTATATACCTATTTATATTCATAAATTTGTGTTTTACTGACCTTTGAATCATGTCTGACTAAAAATACCCTGACACAAGTTGAAAATTACATGGCACACATGCAATTTACATCACCATATCAAATAGCACAATGCACAAGCTGCTGGTGAGTATATCCCATGAAGCTTTTTATTATTTTTCTTTCATTATGTTACCTAATAAGTTTCTATTTTTTACCTTTTAGTTACTTTTATAATAATAAATAGTGAAAACAAATAAAAAATATAAAAAATTCGTAATTAAATATCAAACATTATTTTTATTTTCAGTAAAGCTTTATATTTTCTTTGTTAATTTGTTTACTGTAACACTATACTTGATTATCCAGATTGGAGGTAAGTGATCAAAGTATGATGAAAATAAAGGTTACAAATGCAAAATAAAATACCACTGTTAGTATTAATCACAAAATTTCAAAGTACTTATGGTCACCTTTTCAAACTTATTTTCTGTAGTTATTTTATTGACAGCAGATGGCTACCAAACTAGAAGAAACAAAATGAATAGTACTGTCTCTCCTTTTTAATATGGACAATGAAGTTCCAAGTAAATCTCCTGAGAGTTTCTTCTAATCTTTTTACACCCATTTCCTATGTTTATTCTACTGTTAGCGGCTGAAGTAGAAAAGCAATGAATCACCGTTCCTGTTTACATGTTACCATACTTTGAGTACTTTGACACCATCAGTATCAAATAAGCTTTTGCAGCACAATTCCCAGAACTTTCCCTGATTTGAAAACACAGTGGGGTAGGATTTATAAACTTGTTGACAGTACAATGGTTACAAGGACAATTGTCTAAAGTATTATAAAATCCTTATAGCATGGCTTTGTAGAAAGTCTGGGCCAATTCAATAAACTTGGGTGGTCAGGATTTAGTGGTAATATAGGTGTGAAAGTGCTCATGATCATCCTGTTTCCTATTTTACCATGATTACAACAGTAACCAATAAATGCATAGTTTCCAATATTTTGTAAGATACAGTGAGATACATTACATATATCATTACTATTTAGAAATAAATACTTAAGTTTCAGTTATTTTTCTTAAACATAGTTCAAAAAACATATTCAAAAAACAATGATTTCCACTACTTATGATGTTTTGAAATTCTTTTTTGCACTCAGGAGTCGTACTTGCTACCCCAACTTACCATACATTACATATGTATATATATATATATACACATGCCCTTACTATTTACAAATAAATATTTAAATTTCAGTTATTTTTCTTAAACATAGAACAGTAAATAAAAAATATTCAAAAAACAATGATTTTCCCCTACTTATGATGTTTTGAAGTTATTTTATGTACTCGCTAACCCTCGTCATAAGCCTTGTCCAAATTCACATGTTGATGTAGAAAATAATTTTTGTAGACTTTATATATATGCATTTTTGAATACCAAAAAATTATAAATGACTATATCGATAACACAAAAATCTACTATAATTTACCAGGCTTCCTAACTATGCTGTATTTGGGTCTAAAAAAATCTAATTTCTGTTCAGAAAATAACATTGATCATAATATTTCTAACTCTCCAACAATATAAGAGTTTTTCTCTCATAAATAACTTAGAAAGACTAACAAAATTACATAGAGGAAATGTAGAGCTTTTGATTGGTTATAAACTTATAGGGATCAAAAAGCAGGCATAGATAGACAAGTCTTCTCAAATGATGAAATGGTGGGCAGAGCCAATATGGTGGATTTGATAAATATTATGATATCTCAGGAAATAGAAAAGGTAGGAGGTTCTTATTTTATATTCTAGCTTGCCAATATTGTAAATCTGAGTTTATAATCTGCATGAAACCATAGATATTGTATTGTGGGCATCATGAAATGTAATTTGACCAAACGCAGAAGACAATCTTCCAGTGTGACACACAAAAATCAATATTTAGCAATTCTTTTTTGATACTTACTTTCAAATTAAGAAATAAACTAATGTATAATATCAAAATTGGAATTAAAATATACAATTTGATATCAAGTTTATTGATATACATTCGTAAAATAGTAGTTCAATCAAATTTTGAATGGAAGTCTACAAACGTAATGACATGCCCTCTGACCCCTAGCTACCTGTATCAATAGGGTTAAATGGGTTTTTCATTAAAGTGGCAGTGATGAGCAGCAAACTTGGTATCGAAATAGACTCCATGTAGGAGTTAAGGAAGACTCCCAGGTGGACAAGAAACTAAGTGGTAGTCAAATTGGACAAAAAAAATCAGCCAGCCCACGAAAGAGGCTTCCCAAAGAAGAATGGAGGTAGCAATAACCAATTGATGTCCATATTGGAAAACCACTGAGAACAAACTGGATGAATGACAGTACACAGTACAAATGTGAATGTGAAGGAAGGCATTTGAAATATTTGTCTTGAATAAACACAGCCTGGGAGGGAGGGCCAAATTCAGACAAAGAAAGTTGTTTATACGTAATCAAGGAAGAATGAAAAAGTGGATCAGAGCTGACAAGTTGATGACAAGGTGCCAATTCCCCCAACTTCTTGAGGATGATAAAAAGACAGGAATAAAAGACTTGAGTGGAGTGAGAGACAGTTTCTATAGCTCCTAGCACCAACTAAGAGTTTAACATGTCCTGAAGATGAAGAAGATTGGTGAGAAGAGGATAGGAAAGAGAATGATGAGGTAGAATATGAAAGAGGAGAGAGAAATGATGAGAAAAAACATGCAGAGTGCCAGGGTCACTGGAGAAGGTAGAACATGTGAAGGCAAAATGGGAGAAGCGGGCCCTGATGAGACCAGAGCCCAGGATAAGTTCCAAAAGAAAAAAAGAGTCACCACTGAAAGCCATAGTGACTAGCTGTGTAGGAGACAGGATAGAGAATAGAAGCAAAGAAGCAAGAGAGAGAAACGGGAGAAAATTAACCTAAAGTGACTCCAGAAGATGGGTTGCAGACAGTGTTCCTTGTGGGCCAGTGAGTTGGAAAATCAAGAAGATTGCAGGTGAACAACCCAAGTCCCAGGATTCCAAGGAGATGAAAACACTCCCACAGATCAGCAAGACAAAGGTCCTGGATATAAGCGAAATAGAAAGGGATGTGCACACCTGACTGAGGAGATACTCAAAACAACAAAATCAGGTCAAAATAGACACACAAGGGGAAGAAATGGAAACCAAAATGGCAAATAAAGAATAACAGGGAAAAATACAATAAGAAGACTGCTCAGTAACAATGATGAAAATGAAATAATGATCTAGAAAGGTGTATGTAGGCTGGTCTTATGCTGAGCATGCGCAAACTGGCAAGAGCTACTGAACTAAAAGATGGTCTTCTGTACAATAACATGCAATGAAAAGGACTGTAGATGTAGTAATACAGAGTGGTTAATGGGAGTAATGGAAGTTTAATGCAACAGTACAAAATTTAAGAAAAAACTATATCAACATACAGAAGTAACAATGTATTTTAAAATTTATACTAATCAAGATGCAATTACAACCAACTCTATGGTAATTGAGCTTCATTGAAAAAATCCATGTCTTATCAGCTCCATTTATGGTAACAATACTAAAGTTGGTAAAATAACATAAGTTTCTGGTTTATTGATTACAATATTTCTACTTTTAGATAAAAAAATATTGACAGTAAAATTGTAGTTAAAATGTTTGCTTTATACTGAAGTATTTTTCATCATTCTGGATGCATAATAGGAAAGTTTTATCAGTAAAAAAAATAAAAAAATAGAGACCAAGTTAGAAAATATGCAAATGTAAAATTCAACTATGTTGTGATATATTACAGTGAAGTGCCAAGATAAGTTTGGGATTGTATAACTGGACCAAATGTTTTATAAACAATCATAACTCATATAATAATTCAAGGCCCAGTTAAACGATCCAAAACCTATATTTGTTCAGTACTTGAGTGTAAACTTAAGGCCTTACAGTTCCCTGTCTGCCTTCAATTGCATGCTTCACTTTTTGTTTGACAGCTTTAATGCTGTTGGTAAGTCAAAAACATTTATTTAATTAAATAAAAAAACTTAGCAACTTTGACCATGAATATAACAAATCCTAGAAGGTTTCCTTCTTTCAACCAATAAATTATTTCAGTGTGAATAAGAGTAAATGGTTGGTCATACTTAGTTGTTGTTTATCATTGTTTCCTCCTGTCTTTTGATATCATACTTTTCTAACGTGGCTATGCCACTACTGTGGCTCTTGGTTTGAATTCTTCAATTTCGATACCATATGTTCATACAAGTTAAAATAATGCTGTGAAATGTATTTTTTTATTCTTAACTTATAAGTTAGTGTTGTACATACCACCTAGAAAGTGTTTTACTGTACAGGTTTTTCCAGCATTATCCAGTCCAACCATCATTAGTGTAATGACTCTGTAAAATAATAAGAAAAATACTTTAAGTTCAAGTCTTGCTTGATCATACCACAGATATAAAAATGCATGTTATAACAGCTCAAAAACACTTCTTTATTTCTCTAGTTCAGATGTCTCAAATTTATAACTAAATGAACATTCCTTACACATACGTACACAAACACACGTTTTAGCATGTCTTGTATGTGTACATTAAGTCTAGGTCAGCCATTCTCATTAATTATTTGTAAAAATGCACAGTTTCTAATTTAAAAACTTTAATCTTTAGTTCATTTAGTATATAATTAGAACATTGAATATACATTTAGGTTAGAGAAGGGTATAAATATACATTGTATGAGTACTTCTTTGACAAAAACTATATTTAAGTAGATTCACTATATCTTGAGCATATTGTTACCTGGATCACTAGGACTTTTTTCTTTCCAAGTTCACGGTCAAGACTTAAATATGTAATTAGACACGTTGTGTTTTCTAAACACAGTGTAAACTTAAATTCACTTAAGTAATTTTAGATGCACTTAAAATATTATACATGTTCTAAAAACTGATATAGAATTGTATAATTTAAAACTTTTTGAAAGCAAGTTCAAGTGGCTTTTATTTTGCACACCTCTGTGGCTTTCCAAGAAGCATTGGCAACTAATGAAAAACATTACCAGGTTTACAAAGCTGTATCATGACAAAGTACAAGTTTGCGTATGAACTGTCTCAGAGAATATGAAGATCACAAAGTATGTTTTAGTAGATGTGATAACATGTATCTTACAAATAATTGTACACATATCCCACAAATATAAATTCAGGCACAAAGCCTTCATATATAAGGCCACGCTCATTCATGCTAGATTACTAACACCACTGCTTTTTTTTTTAATAGACTAACAAATATCAAGACTACAAAAGACAGAAACAACTTGAGGCAAGACCATATTTCTTGGTGATCATGCTGTATCTGCTTTCCTGCTTTTTTAATAATTGCTTTGAAGAAATGTTTCCATGAAATCATGCTTCTCCAGAAATAGCTATGTCAATGATGTCCCATTCTTTCTGCACCACAAAGCTAAATATTAGTGGTTGCCTAATAACTCCAAAAAAGATAAAACTCTGACATGAGAAAGTAGTTTCACACCTTTATCTTTCTGGTTATTTTATGATTAACATGATATACTAGTAAAAAAAAAATTGAATAATGTTATGGTAATATATATTTATTTTTGTTCATCCATTTGAACATCACTCTGCATATCTTTCCAGCAAAAATGCATTACTTTATTGGCATGAAACTTTGATTAATATTTTATAATCCTTAGTTAATTGTATTTATCATCCACTTAAGGAACTTGAGGTAGGCTTAGTTAAGTCATTTTATGCTCAACTGTATCAAGTTTCATTAGGTCCTACTGACCTAAATGACTGCTTGAATGAGCAAAGAAAAGTTTTGAAAAAATGGAACAATAAAAAAACATACTTAAATTAGTAAAAACAGATTTAAAACTTAATATACATATATTAAATGAAACCTGATTAACAATGAAAAAGAATTTGGCTTCATTATTATTTTGGTATGTTAAAAAAGTTATTGTACACCAGTGATTGCAAACACAGTGAAACTGCATGTCTTTCATATCAGAACAAAAATTAAATTTACAGTTTTATAAAATAAAATGTTTATAGAGAATGATGTAAAAAGCAGTAATTAAAATCTGCAACAAAGATAAGTATTATTAATTGTTTCTTAAGAATCACAATAAAATATTTTCAAAATTTCAATGCTGTGAATTCACTTATTAAGTGCTTGAATGATCTATCTAAGGATGGTGTGTTTGAGTGGTGAAATGTGTAAATGCAAACTTGAATACTGCAATTAGGAAAAGCAGAAGTGGAGAATGATTTGCTTGATCATGTGGTATGTCTTGTCACTGTTACAAACAGTGTTAATCTTATTATTATTTCTGAGTGTTTTGGATAGTTATAACTTATTATACAGATATGAAGATCTACATCTAGTTCCATTTTCAAGCCATGGTTTACTGTTTTAATACTAGATAGATTGATGACTTTTTAATCAGTGGGACTACTTTTTGCTAATGAGTTTCAACATTTTTGCTTCAAGCTTAAATATAATTTAGTTAGAAGAAATATCGAAAATGTGTTGAGTTACTTATACCAACAACTTAGTTTTCTCAGAACAGTTATGTATTTAAAAAGTTTTGAATTATAATGCATTAGAATTGTCCTTGATAAGTTGATGTGTTTGGTTTATCCATAGTAAAATAAAAAAGTTGATTAACTCTTTTTGTTGGATCAACTAGCAAATGAAAAATTTATTATTCGTTTCTCTTAAAAAAAGTAAACTCTTTAAAGTTTTATTCCTAAGATTAAGAATCATTTGTGTCCTTTTTAGATTAGCATTGAGCATGTTGATTTTTTGCATTTCATTTTAAACTTACTGAAAACTAAAAGTGTATGTTTTGAAGTTCTGTCATTGACTCCATACAAATTAAAAGCTTAATTAATAAGTTACGTTTACTTTAGGTAATCACTGGGCAGACTTACCTTGATGATCGGTGACTTTTACAGCAGTCATTTCCCATACCTCTAACTGTAAGGTGGTGAAACTAAAAGTTAAGAGGTTTAAACCTAATAAATCACTGGTGTTTTTCTAATGCATTTAGACACGGGCGTAAACTTAAGTTTATTCACAAAATCAATGATGGATGATGAAACGAATTAAAACACTAGTGGCTTCAGTAAGTAGCGTAACGATAAACTGCCATTGCGGGGTACATGTCATATGTTAAGTCATAGGCCTATGCTTCAACATTGCTTAAATTTAAAAATTTCTGACAACCTTATTTAGTACTGTTAATTTTTCAAGTTACTTGGTAATAATAGGACATTCCGTTATTTAGCTTTCAACTGTTTAAGAACAACAAAAGAAAAACAGATTACTCTTTCTGATACAATGTTAGGCTTAGCTGTTTTGTTAATTAATGGGTTTCACTTCGTACAAGGCCTTGGTAACAAACAACGATTTCGATACGATTTACATGGGGCAGTTAAACTCTCGACTCAGAGTTCGTGAGTTGTCGCACGATTACTACCAGCATATCAAGTGCACTACTTTGCAATATAATACTTTATTGAATTTATTTTACATATTTAATCATTGAAGAGTTACCAATACTGCTGTCCCTAAGAATTTTTAAATTGCTATAACAGTTTATGTTGCTGCGAATTCGGACAAAACATTCGTGTCCACAGATATAACAAGACATGTCCAATAATAAGAAATTGTCAATCGAACAAGCTAGTTGTACCTAACCGTAATTATCATTTACAATTATTAATGCAATTATTCATGATATAGATATAAGGAACCAAGTAATATAAATATAACATAAAATTATTAATAAGTTATGAAATTATATAAAGATTTTGAAGTGTTATATGCATGTCAGGATGGCCGAGTGGTCTAAGGCGCCAGACTTAAGATCTGGTCCTCGTAAGAGGGCGTGGGTTCGAACCCCACTTCTGACAAATGTTAATTAATTTTTTTCTATTAGTTTTATTCATTTATTATATTTACGCGATCAAAATCTATGAAATATACGATTACTTAAAACTATTGAATTTGGTTAAAAGTTTCTTCCGTGTTAATGTTAGTTTTGAAACAAAACTAGCTACCTTCTTATCATCATCATCAAGTGCTGTGCTTTATAGGGTAAGCGATCATGTCCTTGCACTTGTGATTACATTAGTCACCCTCTCTAAGTGTAAACAAATTGTTAAACTGTTCAGGATCTTCTCTCGCTGTCTACCTCTACTTCTGTTCCCTACAAATTTCCCAGTTGTTACCAAGTGTTCTATCCCATTTTTCCTCATCACATGACCAAAGAATGCTGCTTGTCTTTTTCATACTTTACCTACATATAGTAAAACTAAAAATCAGCCTGATAATAAATATAGCTAATAAAATATACTGTTATTTTTCTAACTTTCATTTTGTTTGTTACCCTCGTTGTTAACAGTATTTGCGGCCATAAATTCAATAATATCTCATGGATTTAACCAGCTTAGAAGATTTTTGACTAGTCCTAAATCCACGTACCAAGCTAACAGTGCAAAACAAGCCTCTATAGTTACAGTGTGATAAAAATGAAAAATAACAAAGTTATATTTCTATATATATAGTTACGACAGCGGGGGTCACGCTAGTAACACGTCATATTCTCGAAGGTTCCTGAAGTCTCGAGCGTTTACTAGATATGCGGTATTCTTGTGTATATAAGACCGGTAAGAAGTGACGCCAACAATGGAATGTAATTGAACTGCAGACAGAGATAGAGATGGACAGTTGAGTCGAGCACGTGAGTCGTTCATTGTGAATTATAGCGTTTGCTTTAGCGTGACTGTGGAAATTAAGTGTATTGCAAAGTTGTATTCGAAAAGAATAAACCAGTTTTATTTAAGAAAGGACTTGTATCGCTAAAGTTTCTTCGGAAAGAATTTTTTACGGAAAATTAACTAACGACCAGAGACGTAACAATATATAACATTCTAACCAATACCGTTAAAGACTGTAACATTAAAGAAGTGATAGGGAAGACACAAACACCAGCTGCTAGTTTCAAGTACTATCGTAGATTTATTGTTTTTGAACAATATATCAGTATAACTGTGTATAAGCAAAACTTTCCACAATTCCTCCTAACAACATCTTGTTTTCCATGGCGAATAGGATGACCAGATTTCCAAAACGAAAAGTAGGACATCCCAGCCCTTGTCCCTAATTTCAAAATGGTTATTACAAATTCAAAATAATTTAACTTTTTTATTTAATTTACTTTAAATTTATTGAACTGTTCTACAATATTTCTAAATATATTAACATTGTTGTTGTTTTTAATGGGGGTTTCTGTGTTTTGCCCACCACGGGTATGAAAACCCGGTTTTTAGTGTCGTAAGACTATTGACTTACCACTGAGTCACTGGTTGGGGACTTATATAATAACATTAGTATTGTTTTCGAAATCGTTTCAACTACTTTTTTCATGATAGACACAAAACAAATGAGTAAAAATAGTCAAATTATACATCTGAGAAATCTTTAATTATTCACTTTATTCAATTCATCTCAAAATAGGCTACTTCATACCTGGATTTATTTAAGAATCCATAGACATACTACTTTTAGGTTTTAGCGTTACTTTGAAACTTCTTAGACATATTTTTGTGAAGAATGAATGGAACACACAAGTTCTGTTTTTTTTTTTCATTAAACAGTCATAAACTTCAGTACACGACTATGTAAAGTGTGTTTGAAAATGAGCACTGCCTTAACTGTCTCCACATTCAGACGTACACTGACCTGGGTTTATCACTATGCACAGACGGAATTTTCGAGAGAAGTGGCAGGAGAGCAAGTGTTACAACAATGAGCATATGAAGTAGATCTATTTCATTCAAGATTCCATGTGACTGGTAGTTTGATGTCTTTATCCTAAAACTGGGACATTTTGTGCATCCTCAGAACTTTTCTCGGGACATTGCGACAAACTATCAAAAAACGGGATTGTCTATAAACTGGCTTTCTTTCCATAATAGATCTTTCTGTCAAGTAACTGAATTAAGAAATCTGGTAGAACAATGTGAATTCAATGCTTTTTTCTTAACAGGAAATGTCAGATTTACTCATGACAGCAAGCAATAGCTATGTGACTGTACATTCTCATTTAACGCAGGGAAGCTATAACTTTTAGATATCATCTACATTGCCAGCAAAGAACATTACTGTCATTGGCCTTTTTGCAGAACAAAGTATTGTGAAGTATACTTTTATTCCTTTAATTTAGATGCCTAGTTAACATGACGTTAAGTTCTATAATATCTAGAATATTCAGAAATGTAGTGATTGAAAGACTTTGTGAGGTGTTTGTATCAGTGTTGGATATACATGTAATTAGTTGTTTGATTGATTAAATGTGAAATTGTACGAGAAATTTATTTTTACGTTAGTTCCCCAGATTTTACTGAGTCTCCATATGATTTATACCTGTAGCTTCTCTTGCCTTCTGGCATCCCCTCTGGACAACAGCCAACATGACTTACCCTTCAATCTGGCCCCCTTCCTCTCTCTACCATCTGGTTATTACACACAGGAAACAGCTCCATCACCACATGTAGAATTGACGTGCTTTCCAGATATACAGTGAGTACTAGGAGACATGCTCCATAGGGTTCTTGCCATTCAGCTAAATCAGAGGAGTGGTTCCCTAAAAATGTTGAAAGACGTTTTGCATGCTATTTAGTGGAATTTTAGGCAGAGTAGACACAGGAAGTTTGAGAACTTGGCATATTTTACCAACAAGTCAGTGAGTTTCTCCCATTGCCTTAAGTTTAGATTGTCTGTACATTCCTCAACTAGTAGTCTCAGGTGTATTGGTATCTGATTTTCTATTTTTGGACAGTATATGACAGACTCAACCCTAACATTACCACTAGCATCAGTTATTTCCACTTTTCTCATCATTCTGATGACCATTACAACTCTCATCTGGGTAACCAATTATCCATACTGGCAGAACAGCAACATGACTTTATCTCCTATTGTGCTAATGCTGTTTGACATCTGGATAAGAAACAGCCTACTCTATGTATGAGCTCAGTGACTGTATTACACGGCACTGACACACTAGACATTGTGTGTAGTAAACCACAGATCATCACTTGTGTGCATGGAGGATACTGTGACTTCCTTGGGTTCATCTGGCTGACAATGGATAACTTTCAAAAGAAACTGGCTGATAAGCTTCAAAGTAGATCAATTCCAAAAATGCAGAAGTCAGAACTAAGGTCACATACAACTACCTTTTTTCTGTAAGCAATCCTCCCCATACAAAGTTGGGGCTGACCTTTCAATTCACGTTTATCTCCATTTGCCAGAACAAAGTTTGTGTTGATAGGTCAGTTGAGTTATTATTCCAATTGTAGTGTCTGATATAGTGCAAGATCTACCAGTGTTCTGTCTGCTCCTATATCAACCAGGAACTGTATTTCTCACCTTTGTACTTTGACAGGCATGCATAAAGACTTGCACAACTCTGAAAGAGCTAGGCTGACAATACACTTTTCTGTGCAAATTGTTAATTGCATTCCCCAAGTCGGTAACCAGTTCCAGGTTGGGCTAATCTAGTATACCAAAGCTTTACACTGTTTTTTGTTGGCTTTCATGAACCTGTTGTACCATTGATTAAAAACAATAGCCTTTTCTACCTTGCTGCTCGGCAAGGTAGGGGCAGTTAGTTCACTTGAAAGTGACCAAAATCTCAATAGGCTCTCATTTCTCTCTTCTTGGATGATGTCCAGGTGGAGGCATCAGCAGCATGTGTTGTGGCAAATATATTGTGGTAGAACCAGGAAAGACTTGCAAATTCACTGGATACCAGTGTGGCTGCATTACATTGCTTTCTATAGCACCACTCTTCTAAGCTTTGAATTCAGTGTACTGTTTTCTACCAAGTCAAGCATTGGTGTAACTTGGTTATGACTGTCTTGCAATTCCATTGTTGCTCTTCATTTAAATGCTCGATGAAGTCTAGGGCTGGATGGTTTACTCAGAATCAGACATTGGATGGCCTGTTCTAAAACTTCAGCCTTTCCAGGCTGTTACCTGCCTCAAAAGATTCAGAAAATGGCCCAAGTCTTCTTTTGTTGTACTTATAAATGCCAGTGGAGTTATCAGCTTTGCCTTGGTCATGGCCAGAAACTCTCTTTTTTCACTTTAAAAACATCATCTGATTAAGATATCTTCAACATAGTCAACACATTGTGGTAGGAGTTCTAAGGGTTTCCAAAGCTCTGATGAGTGGTAGACTCCTGATACATGGTGATAGAGCAAGGAGTTGCTCTTGGCAATTCATTCATTGACTCTAATGGACCCCAAGCTCCTCTCTAGTTCATGTTAACCTCAGCAGTATACCCCCAGCTTGGGGAGACTCATCACCTCCCCATGAACCACTCACTTGGTTTGGCA